ACATCGTTTCATATGCTTGCTTCCCATCTCTGTAGCTTCTTCTCTGAGGTGCCCATTCAGGTCTTTGGCCCACTTTGTAATCAGGTTGTTCGTTTTCTTACTGTTGGTTATTAAGAATTCTTTGTATATTTTGGATAACAGTCCATTGATTGATTGATTCATTCATTCATTCATATATGCTCTACACAGAGTAGAGTCCAATGCAGGGCTTGAACTCATGACCCTGAGATCAAGACCCAAGCTGATACCAAGAGTCAGATGTTTAACTGACCAAGCAACCCAGGCACCCCCAGATGTATCTTTTAGAAACATTTTCTCCCACTCAGTGGTTTTTCTGCATTCTCTTGACCTTGCTTTCTGTACTACAGAAATTTTACACTTTAATAAAGTCTAGCTTCTCAGTTGTGTCTCTCATAGATCATGCCTCTGATGTACACAGAGTCCTCACTGTACCCCAGGTCATCTAAATACTCTCATATGTTATCTTCTAGGAGTTGTATAATTGTGTGTTATACATTTAGGTGTAGGATCTGATTTTTCTGAAGGGTGTAAGGTCTGTGTTTAGATTCCTTTTTTTGCATGTGGATGTCTGGTTATTTCAACACCATTTTCTTTGAGAAAATTCTCACTTTATTGTATTGTCTTTGACCCTGTGTCGGAGACCAGCTGCCTATATTCATATGGGTCTATTTCTGGCCTCTCTGTTGATTCTGTTGGTCGTTTCTCTTATTCTTTTGCCAATACCACACTGTTTTGATCACTGCAGCTTTCTACTGCGTCTTGAAGTCAGGTGGTGTCAGTTTTCTGACTTTGCGCTTCAATACCGTGTTGGCGCGTCTGGACCCTTTGCCTCTCCATATAAATTTTCGAATCAGGGATACCTGGCTGGCTCAGTCAGTAAAGCCTATGACTCTTGGTTTTGGAGTGGCAGGTTCGAGCCCCACATTGGATGCAGAGGTTACTTTAAAAAAAAAATCTTAACAAAACTTTGGAATCAGTTTGCCAGTGTCCACAAAATAACTTGCTGACATTTTGGTTGGGGTTATGTGGACCCTGTAGATCAAGTTGCATCTGGGTTGCTGTTAGTTTGAAGTTATAATTCCTATCCCATGATAATATTTGTGAACTTCGGTATGTCCTTTCTATTGCTCAGTTTGAATTCCAGCTTAGTAGTGCACATTTCTCCAACATGACACATGTCCTTTAGGCTTTCTTTCTTTCTTTTTTTTTTTTTAAGATTTTATTTTATTTATTTGACAGACAGATCACAAGTAGGCAGAGAGGCAAGCAGAGAGAGAGGAGGAAGCAGGCTCCCCGCCGAGCAGAGAGCCCGATGCGGGGCTCGATCCCAGGACCCTGGGATCATGACCTGAGCTGAAGGCAGAGGCTTTAACCCACTGAGCCACCCAGGCACCCCTCCTTTAGGCTTTCTTAATAACACCAACTGACAAGCCTCCAGACACCATGTTGAAGACATATTTCATCACTCATTTTTTCCAGAATAATGACTTTATTATTTTTGTCAAAGTGATACATTCTTCTTACACAGAATTGAAGATAATTCACATGATCATATGCAAATATCCACCCAGAGATAATTAATAACATTAGATGAACAGTATTCAAGGCATCCCTAGGATGCTTCTAGCTAGGTGAGATAGAAATGCTTTTATTAAAATGGAACTAGCCATGCTATTTAAAGAATAAAAACAATTTTATGTGAATCTAACAGAAGAAAAAGAAACTGAAGTAGGCATTTCTTCTCCACAAAAAAATGTTAGTTTCTAAAAGGTCTCTCTGAAGTTAAGATTATGAGAAACATCAAGAAACCATAATGATGTGTTGGGTGCCTGGGTGGCTAGTTGGTTAAGCAGCTGCCCTCAGCTCCAGTCATGACCCCAGGGTCCTGGGATCGAGTCCTGCATTGGGCTTCCTGCTCCACGGAGAGCCTGCTTCTCCCTCTCCTTCTGCCTGCCATTCTGCCTACTTGTGCTCTCTATCTCTGTCAAATAAATAAAATCTTTAGAAAAAAAAAAGTTTGAATCTTAAAAAAAAAACTATAATGATTTTTTAAAAGATTTTTTTATTTATTTCTCAGAGATGGAGAGAGAGAGCACAAGCTGAGGGAGCATCAGGCAGAGGGAGAAGCAGGCTCCCCACTGAGCAGGGATCCTCATGTAGGACTCAATCCCAGGACCCTGGGACCACAACACAAGCTGAAGGCAGATGCCCAACCAACTGAGCCACCCAGGCATCCCAAGAAACTGGAATGATTTTTAGTAAGATTTTCTAATTGGGCTCCATGCTCAGTAGGGAGTCTGAGGATTCTCTCTCCCCCTCTGACCGTCCCCCTGCTCACATCTCTCTCTCTCTCTAAAGATAAATAAAATCTTTTTTTTTTTAAAGGTTTTCTTTTTTCAATGGCCTGGCTCAAGGCTCTGAAGATGAGCAAATCGCTTGCCTCACACTTGCCTTTTCTCACCTTCTCCCTTCCTCTGCTTCTCCTAATTTGTATTAATCTGTGTATATATTGATATTCTCAAAGTCTACACATTGCCCTCTGCTCTGAAACGAATTCACAGTTATGTAGCACTCATCTTATACTGAAGCTGATTTGTGACTCACTAGTAGTACGTTCACTGTCATTTTTTCATCCTTGAATTGTTTTCAAACTCTTAATTGGCTACATTTCATCATAAAGTTCCTCAAGGATGGCTCATGAAGGCTGTATTTTCTGTGAGAATGTTTCTGTGGTTTTTATACTTGAATGCAACTTGGCTGAGTAAAACATTCTTGCATCACACTTTATTTTGCTTGGAACTTTGGGGACATCTCGCCACGGGCATGTAGCAGCATTGACTGTTGGTAGGGACAAGACGGGCCAGTGTCAGAGTCCCCCTGATAATGAAGGTGATGTTCTTCCTCCTTTATAATTTGTCTGCCTGAAGAAGTCTAGCTTTCTGGTTCTTTGTCAGTTTTTCCTGAAATAGTGTGCTCTTTTGAGTTTCATTTCCATTCTTTTGGGGGAAGATGCCTTGTATTTTTTTTTCTTCCAGTTTTATTGAGAAATAATCGAACTGCATCACGTATACATTTAAGGTGTCCAGCATGACAGTTTGATTTACAGATATTGTGAAATGATTACTACAGTAAGTTTAGTTCACATCTGTCTATCTCATGTAGATACAAGAAGAAAAAAAAATTCTTGTGATGAGAACTCTTCACGTCTAGTCTCTTCACAACTTGTCTGTGTTCTTTATGAATACTTTTTCTTTTCCATTTGTGGGGTTTTCTGTTTCAAACTGTGTTTATTCCTTTGTTTCACGGTCTTGATCTTTTACAACTATGGTGTTCTCTCTGTTTAATACTTTTTTTTTCATTTCCCATTAATTCTCTCAAGCCTTCCCTCTAGATCAATTTTTTTCAGCCATATCCACTTTCTTGTTATTTCTGATGCATTAGTTTTATGAAAGTGCACTCAGTTTGTTCTCTTATCTCATTCTGTCATTTCCTCTTTGCTTACTTTCTTGAAATCATGTTGTTATTTAATTTTTCTATAGCTCAGCATGCTCTAGGGACTTTTTCTGTTCTTTTTTTTTTTAAAGATTTTATTTATTTATTTGACAGATCACAAGTAGGCAGAGAGGAGGAAGAGAGAGAGGAGGAAGCAGGCTCCCTGCTGAGCAGAGAACCCGATGCGGGGCTCGATCCCAGGACCCTGGGATCATGACCTGAGCTGAAGACAGAGACTTTAACCCCCTGAGCCACCCAGGCGCCCCCTTTTTTCTGTTCTTTAGATGACATTTTCTTCTAGACTTGGTTTTCATCAGTCATATATGCATGTTCCTCTCTTTCATTTTCTTCCCCATGTATTTGTGTAGCTACCATACCATTTTTTTTTTTTCAATGTCTTGTGCTTAAAGTAGCTGCCCTGGCCAGGAAATCTTTTCTTTGTACTCTGGGTATATTCTCAATTCCAACAGCATCTGTACCCACTGCTAAAATTAACAAATGTTAACATTTTACCATATATTGGAGCACCTGGGTGGCTCAGTGGTTCAAGCCTCTGCCTTCAGGTCATGATCTCAGGGTCCTGGGATCTAGCCCTGCGTCGGGCTCTCTACTCAGCGGGGAGCCTGCTTCCCCCTCTATCTCTCTCTGCCTGCCTCTCTGCCTACTTGTGATCCCTCTCTGTCAAATAAATAAATAAAATCTTAAAAAAAAATCTTATCATATATTAACCAAGTAGTGATCTACACAACCATTTAGTACTTGCTACAAAAGCCCCATTTTTACTCTTTCATCACTGAGGACTCTTCTCACCAGCTAGAGCTGAGACTCTCTCTCCTTCCCTTCCTGACCTCAAGTTTTCTTTACTCTGTCCTAATCAGAACTCATATTTTCTTAACTACCTACCATATTCCATTTTCTCTTGTTTAAAGAGGAAAAAAAAAAGAATCTTGGGGCGCCTGAGTGGCTTAGTTCATTAAGTGTCTGCCTTCGGCTCAGGTCATGATCCCAGAGTCCTGGGATGGAGCCCTCAATTGGGCTCCCTGCTCAGCAGGGGGTCTGCTCTCCCACCCCCACACCTCTCTACCATGGATGCTCACTCTCTCTGTCTCAAATAAATAAACAAAATTTTTTTAATAAGAATCTTATTTTCCACCCACTCCCCAAGAGAAAGTATTGAAAAACGATGCTAACAAAAATCTAGTAAATATAAAAAAATACAGCAAGCATACTTGGGTTCCCACATGATGTGTCTCCAGAAGAGAAGTGTGAGCCTATAAACAGGCATTCCTGGTTATAGGCGTTGGTCTTTTGGCAGAGCCTGGGGAAGCTTCCACGGCAGTGACGCTAGGAGCTGAGGGCTAGGCCAGCGCTGTGGTGGTTGGTCCTCTCACCTCCAGTTTCCTTTTCAGGCCTCCAGGAAGCCAGCCAGTCCTGCCCCTCACTCCTGGTGAACGCCGGCCTTACCCACACACGTCTCCATTCCACAGCTACGTCCACACTAAGCTGCAAGGGGAGTGCGGACAGCTGGGAACTGAGTGGACTGCAGTTGCCGGCAAAAACCAGGCTGTGAGCTCCCTGAGGGCAGGCTCTTCATGAGCATTTCCTGATGGATGTTGCAGAGTGAAAAATTCTCCTGGAGAAGGTGAGGCCCCAAGCAAGTCTCTCACAGGTATGAATAGACTTCTGTATGTGAAGGAGGGGCAGGAAGATAGACATTCCAGCATGAGATGGGAGCCTGACATGGAAAATGAAGGCACAGAGGTGGAAACAGCAGGATGTGTGCAGAGGATCAGAAGGAGGTTGGCAAACACAGAGTGTCATGGGGTAGGCCGGGTCATGGGGGCCTAGGTCCAAGCAGAGGAGTTGAGCTCTGATGGGACAGGTGGTAGGAGCCACTGGGTTCCTGAGAAGGAAAGAGAGAAGGGAAAGTGGTGTTTGAGAATCATCAGCCTTTGATTTACTTTTGGATTTGATTTTTACTTTGATTTACATTTGGCTATTTAAACTTCAATTAATTAATATAAAACATGCAGTTCTTTAATCACACCAGGCCCATTTCAAGTGCTTGATAACCACATGCTGTTAGTGGCCACTGTTTTGAACAGCGCGGATGAAGAACACATCCACAGAGTCCTTCGGACAGTGCTAGTGTTAAAACATACAAACTGTATTCATGTGTGTAGATATGGAGTGTTTAGCAAAAGTACAGTGTAAATCATGCAAATAGCAAACAACACATTCAGACCAAGGTTATGTCTAGTAGGGTGAGAGTGTTTGCGTCCAGAAAAGGGACGCTGGGGGCTTCCATGTTTTATCTCTGGAGCCAGATATTATTATCTGTACTTTATTTTCTTATCTTTTCTATTACCCAGATGTGGGTAGTGGCTGTTGTGTTGGATAGCCTGGGTCAGATCCTGCTAAAATTTGTTTTTCTCTTTCTTCCTTCTACCCTTCTTTTTTCTTTCCTTCTCTTTCTCTTTCTTTCCTCCCTCCTTTCCTTCCTTCCTTCCTTTCTCTTCCTTTCCTTCCTTCATTCCCTTCCCTCCCTTCTTCCCTTTCCCTTTCCTTTTCCTTCCTTCCTTCCTTCCTTCCTTCCTTCCTTCCCTCCTCCCTTCCTCCCTCTTTTCCTTTCTTCCTTTTACCTTTATTATTTTTTTTTATTATCTATACTTTTATTTTTATATCTATACTTTTATCTATGCTTTATTATCTATACTTTTCTATGACCACGTCATAGTAAAAATTTTTTTAAGATTTATTTATGTATTTATTTTAGAGAGAGAGAGCAGCAGGGCGGGGCAGAGGGAAAGAATGTCAAGCAGACTCCCTGCTGAGCACGGAGCCCATCACAGGGCTCGATTTCACCACCCTGACATCATGACCTGAGCCAAAACCAGTCGATGCTCAACCGACTGAGCCACCCAGGCACCCCATAGTAAAACATTTCTAAAGGAGCTGGGCTGGACATTGGCACACTGAGATAGAGACTGAGCGTAGAACAGAGAGGAGACCGAAATGGCTGGGATTTCTTGCCCGGGAGACTGGGCGAAGGGGCTGGCTGTGGAGACATCTGACCTTCCTCATCCTGTATCCATGCCATCCCATGTGGGCCATTCGGCTGTTCCCTTGTCATCACCGGGGTCCTGGCCTCATGGACACTCTGCTCAGGTGCTCTTGGCTGCGGTTACCTAGCATCCTGCCAGCTATGATGGGGTCAGGCACAAACGCCTGCACAGGCTGGCCTCCCCCTGGTCACAGACACGTATTGGGTGTCCCTCCCACTTGCCCAGCCACAACCCCCACCACTCTGACCACATACCCCTTCCCACAGGCTCCCCAACCCCAGCTCCAAAACCAAACCAGGACCCATACTCCTAAGGATGTTACCCAACCCTAGGTTCACCTCTAGGTGGGTGTTGAGCCCAAAGACACAACAACACCGAAGAGTGGGAAAAGGAAGGGTTTTATTTCCAACAAGTCAGGAGGACACTGGGGATCTTTCCAAAGCAGTATCTCTGCAAACAACAACACTGGGGGACATTTTTTTTTTCATTTAATTTTTTTTCATTTAAATTCAATGAATGAACATATAGTGTATTACTAGTTTCAGAGGTAGAATTTAGTGATTAATTCCATTGCACAGAACACAACACTGGGGAAGTGTTAAGCTAAGGGTGCATCCATATTCATGAAGGGGCTTGCACAAAGGGGAATTCAGCATAGAACTGGGGTAAAAGTCATCCTAAGTCAACAGGTTTCAGTTGATTAAAGTCATGAGGATCAACAAGGGGCAGCACTGGTTTCTGAGTGCTCAGAGGGGTTCAGATCCTTTCTGAAGGATTGCAGCAGGTCCATCTTCTCGTCCGAAACAGTGCTGAGGGGCGCCTGGGTGGCTCAGTGGGTTAAAGCCTCTGCCTTCGGCTCAGGTCACGATCCCAGGGTCCTGGGATCAAGCCCTGCATTGGGCTCTCTGCTCAGCAGGGAGCTTGCTTCCCCGGCTCTCTCTCTGCCTGCCTCTCTGCCTACTTGTGATCTCTCTGTGTCAAATAAATAAATAAAAATCTTAAAAAACAAACAAACAAACAAACAAAAAACAGCGCTGAGAGTTTTACCCCTGATTTCTTGTCTCTACTATGGTTAGGCTATCTCCTAGCCTGGTAGGGGCTATTTGTTCTTATGTTCCTTTATTCCCTTAAAAGCCTTAACTACTGAGGTCTGTTCTTCTGCAATTTCTACATATCCCAGGAAGTTCTGCAAGAAACGTGCTTAGGCCAGTAGTGCTGGTAGGGCTTAGATCACAAAATGGCTGTGGGCCTAAAATGACTTCTCCCGCCGTGTCTCGTCTTCCGGGGACCCCTAGCCCTATCTGTCTATGAAGTACCTCCTTGAGGTATATCACTCTTCCTTTTTGAGGGGCATCGGGCCGAAGATCATTTTTCTGTAGCTGCTTACTGCTGAGAATGGTTGTGTGGTCTCCCCAGCTGGAAGAGTGAGACTCTCACTAAAGCTGGACAAGTTTTCAGCAGAACAAGCTGAAGTTGCCATTTGTGACAAGGTCTCCTGGGAGTCTGAAGATGCATGGGCCAAACAACAGAAGTAGGACAGTAGTGTTAAGTGTTAACAGGGGTCCATCAAAGGTCATAACCATGAAAACCATCCCCCAAATAGACAAAGATTGAGTCCCAGGGCCGTGGCTCAGTTTTTTCCTAATATTTCTGTATTTCCTTTCTTTTTTTAAAATGTATTTATTTCTGAGAGAGAGAAAGAGAGAACGGGTGGAGGAGGGGCAGAGGGAGAGAATTTTCAAGCAGACTCCCCACTGAGTGAGGAGCCTGATGCAGGGCTCAATCCCGCAACCCATAGGATCACGACCTGAGCTGAAACCAAGAGGCAGATGAGCAACAGAAGGAGCCACCCAGGCGCCCCTATTTCTGTATTTCCTTTTATGCCCTCTAGGCTTTCTTCAACTTGGTGAGAGGTATTGATGTGGAAATAACCTTCTTCTCCCTGGAGAGCACAGGGACCTCCTGCCTGGGCTGGGATGACATTGAGGGCCCTTCTATTTTGGGATACTACCTAAGCCAGAGAACCGAGGGCAGTTTTCTGGGGTTCTGTTGTCACTACTTTCCAAGATTGTTGAATAAGAATGGATATATATTTCTGATGGACTTTTTTTTTTTTTAAACTTTCTCTTTTTTTTTTTTTTTAAGATTTTATTCATTTGACAGAGAGAGATCACAAGTGGGCAGAGAGGCAAGCAGAGAGAGAGAGAGAGGAGGAAGCAGGCTCCCTGCAGAGCAGAGAGCCCGATACGGGACTCGATCCCGGACCCTGAGATCATGACCTGAGCTGAAGGCAGAGGCCCAACCACTGAGCCACCCAGGTGCCCCTCTGATGGACTTTTCTAATTCTGGGGTCTCAATGAACCAAGAAAGGGCCCTACAGATAGTATGACCAAGACCGTTCTGGTCTATTATGGGGTTGTTTGTGCTTAAGATACCATCCAAGTCCCTTTTAGCCCAGACCCCGCCCCCCACCAGACTCCTGATGCATTTAGGGCGGGGTCTAGGCATGATCCCAAGTTAGGGATAGGGGCTGTTGATCCTAGGGAAGTCATGTTATAAACCTCCAGCAGAATAAAGACCACCATACAGGACCCTCTCTATTTTCATGGGAAGGTAAGCAAGAGATTTCTTCCACAGAGGAAGAAGTAACCAGTACCCTTTAGGATGATTGCTATGGGGTCCCCTTGGGCCCAGATCCAAGTATGATTATTTTCTGAAGATCAAGTATCAGTGTTTACAGCAGGGTCCCTGGTCTTCCAGAGATCTATACCCTCTGTTTTTGTTCCAGGCATAGAGTCATCTGCACAAAGGACCGGGAAAACAAGTATGGGCTCAGCGGCAGATTAGGGTAGAACATGAGCTAAGGGATTGGACACGAATGGGTGGAATTGGTCAGGTCATATTCAGGGAACCATTTACAAGCTTCCAAGGGTTACCAGACTCTAGATTCACTCCCATTTGGATTAGTTCTGATGAACTCTGCTTCCCATTTTCCAGAAGAATTGTATTTTTTATTACCCGAAGCAAGGCTTGCAGTAGCCTTATACTCAGTGTTTATATTTACTGGAACTAGAGAGTGGTCAGTGGGATTGTACCACATAACTGCAAAGGGAAGCTGGCAAGGTCCAAGTGATGGTTCCCATCTACATAGACTGCACATGCATATGGCAGCACCGAAAGGCAAGGTGTGTACCATTCCCACTGCTTCATGCTAAGTTGCATCTGATTCTCCTGTCTAGGGAGGGGATCCCAGAGGCGGCCTCCCCTTTACTGAGGAAGTTATATAGTTATATCTATTGGCTTAACCTGAACACTTAACAAAGATCTCTAGTAGGAGGGATATTTCTATATTTGGCTCATCCCCAGTGTGATTCTGTTGAGCACGCAACCAACAAGAGGAAAGGTTAACTTTCTTTGCTAGGCTTTCTATGACTGGCGAGAGAGGGCCTCTGTAGGTTCCAAGATGTTGTCCCATTAACAAAATAGGAGGAAAGGAGCCATTTCCCATGAAGACTTGGGCTATAAACATACCTATAGTTTTCTCTCAGGAACTGAAATCCCTTTGAAGAGGGGCTTG